GCAAACAATGTTACAGCCACTCCAACCCAGAATATGTCCCTGATGCAGAGGAGTTAGTTCCCCAGGATGGTAAAGGGCTTGGAGGAAGAACAAAGCTGGGGCAACGCGGGTGGAGCCAGTCTAGAATGAGATAGTGGGGGAGGGAACGGAGGGGGGTATTGGTTTTTAGGACTGTGGTGGGGTTAGAAGTACAGGAGGCAGAGAGTTCAGAGACAAGTGTGGAGGTTGGGGGAGGAGGGTGAGCCATAGGGCATTTGGGCGGGGTGAAAAATTCTGGACTGGTGACATTTAGGAACTGCAGGAGCATGGAGAGCTCACCAACATTGTAAATGGAATGTTCCAGTGTGGGCGTGTCTTCTTCAAGATCCAGGCCTTGGACCTGAGGGTATGATGCAAGTCCTCTGTGGGGATGGAGAACACAGGAGGCAGGCCCTCTCAGCCTCATCCTTCAAGGGGTGTTTGCTCACTTTTGGAGGTGCAGATTCCTGGCACAATCAACCACCAGGGGCTAGGAAAGACAAGTTAATTCATTTAATCATTCACTTTTAAAAAACATATATATTTTTTATTGATTTCAGAGAGGAACAGGGAGAGATGGAAATATCAGTGATGAGAGAAAATAATTGATCGGCTGCCTCCTGCTCGCCCCATACTCGCCCCATACTGGCGATTGAGCTTGCAACCCCAGCACATGCCCTTGACTGGAATCGAACCCGGGACCCTTCAGTCTGCAGGCTGATGCTCTATCCACTGAGCCAAACCAGCTAGGGTTATTCATTCACTTCTTAGATTATTTATTCAGTTATTCATCCCTCCTTCCCCCCTGAATATTTACTGCATTTCTACTAAGTTACAGGCACTGTTCTAACCCTAGAGATACAATAGTGAGCATAGCCATACCCATGTCTTCACTCAGCTTACATTCTAGTGGGAGACAATACTTAAACTAGTTAACAAACAGATATGTAATATAACTTCAAGTTATCACAAGGTTATGAAGAAAAACAAAGGAGATAAAGATGGTAGGGAGTGACTGTTTGGATGGGGGCAGTGTCAATGAGGGCTACTCTGAGGAGGTGAGACCTGGATGAGATAAGAAGTGAGGCCTGCAGAGCTCAGAGGGAAGTGTGGCCCAGGCAGTGTTTGGAGCCCTGGAATGCTTCATGGCTGTTGTGGGAGATAAGCTCACTCACCCAAGCTCTATTTTGGGGTCCGAGCTGACTCAAATATTGGGCAATTGGCTTCCTACTACCAGACTGTTCTACTGTAAAACGAGGATTTTAATAGCTACCTCTGTTTTACGAGAGTCTCATGAGAATTGGTCAGTGTCTGGCTAGAAAGTATTTTTTATTGCACACACAAATTTTTTATTTATATCCTGTATAAGCTAAGGGGAAATGGTCAGCAACTAACTCAGCTGTGTTCTCAGAGAGCAATGCTTGGTCTGGTTCACTCAGTGCTGAAACTCAGTTGACTCCTAAAGATGACCTTGAACTTCTGCTGATTTTCTTGGTTTCATGCCCTGTTGAGCTCCAGACAAAGAGCCTAGAGTCCTAGGTTCTGGCCCCCATTTTATTGCTGACAACCTGTGATGTCTTGGGCAATTTACTTAACTTCTACCACAGTCTGTCACCTATAAAATGGGTGTAATATTCAAAGAAAATAATGGTGTTTGCCCTACAAAGTACTATAAACGTAAATGTAAAAGATTATTGTTATTAAAGGGAAACTTCGGGGTGGCCCACCTTGCCCAGCTTATTCACATTCTTGGGGTCCCAGCTTTGCCCATGTGTTTCCATGGATCTCCTGGGAGAGTGGCAGAGGCCACAGAGTTTGGTCCATGAGAAATACATAGCTTCTCCTTAGTTTCGCCTTCTCTATGTTCGGCCTGAGGCTTGTGGCCCAGGAGAGTGTATTTAAGTGGCAGAAAATCAGTGAAAAAGTCTCAGAGGAGAGCAGAGAAATGCTGTTTGGGAGCTAAAGCAGGCAAGCGAGGGACTATCTTTAGGGCACTTCCTACCTCTCTCTTCCAGGAACATCTATTGAGGTTCTTGGTGCCCAGCGCCACGCTAATGTTTCTAGACCAGTTTGTGTGCAGCCTGTCCCTAACTCTACTCTGGATGGGTGGTGGGCAGCAGTGCAGTGACTGACACCCACTTACTGGCCTGGACTTGGGCATCGAGGGTTGCAAGCCAGAATGTGATGGACCCACCGACCCCAAGAATCCCTCACCAGCCTGCCCAGAATCCTCTCCTCTGGTCCAAAATGCTTTCCCTTAGTGAGTGTCGGGTACTTTGTGTACATTATCTGACTTATTCTTTCTAACAACTCTCTGGCATAGGGGCTATTATTAAACTGTGTCACAAAGGAGGAAACTGAGGTTTGCTCACTTGTACAAAGTCACACAGTGAGCTAGCATTAGAGCCTAGACCAGACCACAGCCCCCTCTCCACCTGCTGACAGCCACCCCTGCAGTCTTCTCTCCCCCTCCCGAGGCTCCCAGAGCCCCTTTGCTTGTGCACATGAACACTCACCCACTGAAAACCAGAAGTGCTGAGAATTTACCTCAGCTAAGAATGCCAGCTGGTATAGCACAGTCCATCCAGCTTAACAGCTCTGGAGAGTATTCTTCAGCGGTTCCCTGCAGAATAAAATGACTTTCTAGCCTAACTGGCGTGGCTCAGTGGTTGAGCTCGACCCATGAACCAAGAGGTCCCCAGTTCAATTCCCAGTCAGGCACATGCCCAGGTTTTGGGCTCAATCTGTAACTGGGGGGAAGGGATACTTTTAGGAAGCAGCTGATTGACACCTCTCTCTCATTGATGTTTCTATCTCTCCATTCCTCTCCCACTCTCTCTCAAATCAATAAAAACATATTAAAAAATAAGATGACTTTCTATACAACGTTTGTCTTGCTTGTTCTCCTCCTCTTTTCAATCCTACTCCCCTCGTGCCCCTAAAACATCACTAGCTCACAAAGGTTGGCTCCTGGGGAACCCAGTTAGGTATGGGCTGAGCTGGGGCAAAATATTATTTAGTGACTGAGTCCAAGAGAGAATTCAGAAGCTATAATAGGTCTGGGTGACAGCCCGATCAAGAGCCCAGATGACCCCAGTAACTGTGTCACAGAAAGGCTTCCTTTAAGAGCCCTTCAGAGTTCAAGGCACTGAATCAGACAATTTTCATATCTACCCCATTAAATATTAAAACATCTACCTATTAGACTTTTCCAGTTTTCATTGGATTTTTTTGATATTATACAGATTCAATAAAATTCAACTTTGACTAATCTCAAAACCACACTCTAGGTAAAGTAGCATTTCGAAATTGCACCTTGGTGGGACTCTGTAATAAGGCCCTTCATTTGATCTCATCCTCACTGCCCACCCTTTCCTATAAATGTCCTGTTTCTCACATATTCATGTACGTGGCTCTCATGCAGGTGACACTCACTTTGCCCTCTGACATGATTGCGGATCTGGGTGTCTCAGCCCCAGAGTTCATGACCGATGCTCTCTAGCTGCACCATCTAATACTGTAGCCACTAGTCTCATCTGGCCATCAAACATTTGTATCATGGCTCATCTGAATTGAGGTGTGCTTTAAGTATAAAATACACAGGAAGGATTTTGAAGACTTAGTATGAAAAAAAAAGAATGTAAATTATCTCACTAATAATTTAAAAATATTTATTGGATGATGAAATGATAATATTTGAAGTATATTAAATAAAGGGTATTAAAATTAATGTTATTTCTTTTTACTTAAAAAAATAAAGTTACTGGAAAATTTAAAATGGCACATATGGCTCTCATCATGTTTCTATTGGGCTGTGCTGCTCTACAGACTCAAACAGAGGAGGCTGGGAGAGTGAGCTTGTCCAGTGCCTCCCGGGAAGACAGGCTGAGCTGGGAAGGAATTGTGTGGTTGCTTTGATGGCAGGGTTCTTTATGGAATCAGGAGGCAGCAAGGTAAGTTCTATGTGACATCACTTTAAAAGGTGTGTGCTCCTGTAGACAGGCTCTGTGCCCCTTTGGCCAAGAGGATTTATGACTGAAGAGACTGGCCATCGGTTCAAATGACATCACTGCATCTTTGGTTCCAGGCTGGGGCTTGTTAACATTTTAGAATTCACATCTGCTCTCTCTCTTTTTTTTTTTTTTCATATGATCATATTCTGTGAGGAGAAAGAGGGAAGGAAAGCCCTAGCTGCTTTGGCTTAGTGGATAGAGCATCTGCCTGTGGACCAAAGGGTCCTTGGTTCGATTCCCATCAGTTGTAGACTCCTCCCCAGCCCGGGCCCTGGTCGGGGCTCATAAAGGAGGCAACCAACCGATGTGTTTCTCTCACATTAATGTTTCTTTCTGTCTTTCCCTCTCTCTTCCATTCTCTCTAAAAATACAGTGGAAAAATCATTGGGTGAGGATTAACAACAACAACAAAATAATAATAAAGGGGGAGGGGGGAGAAAGAGGGAAGGAAAGAGAGAAGAGGAGGGAGGAAAGAAGAGCTGGGGATTATTATTGATAAGGATGGAGGAAGAAGGACAGAGGGAACTAGTGAGAGAACATCTCATTAACTAAAATAAAAGGTTCAAAAGTAGGTTAGTCAAGTAACTTAAACTGATGAGTGATTTCCAGTTTTGGGATGCACATTCCATCACTAGGGCTCCACTTTGGGACATTCCCATTTCAGTGATGTGGCACCTGTTCTCGTAATTTTAGAGGCTAGGAGCCCAAGATCATGGTGCCAGCCAGCATGGTCTGTCTCTGTGAAGACTCCCATCCTGGCTTATGGATGCCCACTGTGTGCTCACATGACAGAGAGAGAGTTTTGGTCTTGCTTCCTCTTTTGATAATGACAAAAATCCTATTAGATTAGGATTCCTTTCCCATGACTTCGTTCATTTGTTCCACGGGGCGGACAGGCCTGAAGGAGGTCTTTATAGTCCTGGAGCCAAGGGTCACAGTGGGACTCACATTCTCACGTCCCTCCTTCAGGGCCATGTTCTGCAATGACTTAAAGGAGAAGTATGAGAAGAGGATCATTATCAAAGGAGTCGATGCCGAGACCATGCACACTCTCCTGAACTACACCTACACCAGCAAGGCGCTGATCACCAAGCAGAACGTCCAGCGGGTCCTGGAAGCTGCTAACCTCTTCCAGGTGAGTGAACAAACAGGCTCTCTTCCGCATGGTTCCCCAGAGACCTGCCTGGACTGGCTTCCCAGGCCTGTACCTGGGACACACACGCATAATTAGCTGGGCCTGTGCTTACTTGAAAGACAGAAGGTGCTTCTTTGGTGAGATGAGACAGTGATTCCGTAATGCGACGAAACCAGGGGAGCTTGGTGCCTAATACCTACACTTGGTTCCTGACTCCAGGATCAATGACTATAATTTGCAGAAGCCCAGTTGGAGCCTGGGCCTGAAGTCACCAGTTCATATACTTAACTTCTAAGCCTTAGAACAACTTTTTGTGTGAGGAAAGCAAGGCAAATTGAGGATAAGTGACAAGGCTGGGATTTGAGCCCTGGGCTCTCTGAGTCCATAGGCCACATGCTTGCCAACACACCATGCAGCCTCTTGAGGAGGAGTGTGTAGGTTCTGGGGAAAGCAGAACCTGGACTGGTCAGCACTTTGTGGTGGGTGTGAAAGAAGAGCATCTCTCGTGAGGGGTATAAAAGAAGATGAGATAGAGAACCCTCAGAATTAAGTTTCATTGTTGGCATTTGGCTATGTTTGTTTCAATCCAATTATAATAACTATATTTAATTCATAGAATAATTAGACCTATAGATGGTGTCAATTGTATCCACAATTATCACAGGGCTCCTATCCCCAGATAACCAACTTTGCCTAGGTCTAAAATTACACTTTGAACTTGATTCCATTGGATTACAACAGAGTTCTTTTTTCTTTCTTTCTTTTTTTTAAATCCCCACCCAAGGATATTTTTCCATTGATTTTTAGAGAGAATGGAAGAGAGAGGGAAAGACAGAGAGAAACATTGATGTGAGAGAAACACATTGATTGGCTGCCTCCTGCACCCAGGGCCTTTGCAGGGGAGGAGCCTGCAACCAATGTACATGCCCTAGACTGGAATCAAACCCGGGACCCATTGGCCAGCAGGTCAATGCTCTATCCACTGAGCCAAACCGGCTAGACTGGAATCAAACCCGGGACCCATTGGCCAGCAGGTCAATGCTCTATCCACTGAGCCAAACCGGCTAGGGCTGAAGATTATTTTTATGATAAATCCAGGGACAGGCCAGGTCAGATCTTATCCATGGTTTGGGACTTTAGGTGGTGACATCCTCTTGGATCATCACTAGCTCAGCCATTGAGGGGAACAGAAAACCAAGTCTGGGAAGGGAAGGAATGAGGAATCCAGGGTCAAGAACATGGGTAGTGGGGTTATCTTTGCTGAGGCTGGGAACTGTGCAGGGTTTATGAAACCAGCAAGGAAGAAAGAGGGGAAAGAGGGAGCAAAATCAGCCATGAAACAGCACTGATGAATTCTGAGGAATGGCTTGCTGCAGTGCAGCCAATTTTATTGTCTCATTTACCTCAGGGAACTTTAAAGATACAGAGAAAAATACTTCCAACAAGGCTGGTCACACCTTACCTGGTGGTTGTAGGGGTGTTTTTCACTCTTTTCTGCGTCCATCTTCATCACAGAAAAGGAAACAGTCAGGTTCCTGAGTGGAGGAGCTGGGGATTAAGAAATTAAAAAAAGGAAGAGACCAAGAGGCAGAAATGGATTCATAAGGCTGGGAGCTAGGTGGGTGCCATTCTCTCTGATGGAGAGGCAGCAAAACGACGACAACCCCTCCCAGTGCATTTATTTTATACCCCCAACACCAGGAAGTTATCATAAACCTATTTGCATTCTTAAGTAGGCCCTAGCATGTCTGGATGTACATATCTAGTCCCACCCCTGCCGACACCTGGGCTGATATGAAGACCAAACTGACAACATGTCCACCATCTTGGGGAAACATGTTCCCAAGGCATGGCTCTGCCTATGCCTTGAGTTCAGCAGACCATAATTAAGGAACATGTCCATGTGTCTTCCCAGGCGGCCCTCTACAGGTGGTATCTCCAAGTTAGTTACTACTCACACCCCCAGTCCCTCACCTGCTCTCTGTTTGTACCTGCTTACACACCCAGGCTTCAGATTGTTAGGAAAATACTTCTCGTTATGTGGAGGAGGAGTTAGCAACTTGACGCTCAGTACCCTCTCCTCATCGCCTCCACCCAACACTCCAACAATCTGACTTGGGGGGAAGTTCCTCCCATGTCATGAAGAGGCCTCTATCTAGTACAGCTGTTGTGCTTTTTCTGAACCTTCTATTCAAAGGTAACACCCCCCACACTCTGCAGCACCTCCCCACAAATGGCCAACAACCTTTAGCAGAATCACCCCATTCACCTTTATTCAATCCAGCCACAGCCGCCATTGCCATCTTCATGCTAACCTCCTTTCCTAGGGCCCAGCGAGGATTGCTGACATCTAAAGATGGACAGGTAACACTGACAATAATAATAATAATAGCATTCATGGCTTCAAGTATGACACCAAAATAGATGCTCAATGAATACAAATTTTTTGAGCACTTACTATGGACCTCGAGTGACAAAGTTGGGGCTAGTAACCACGTCCCCTGTTTTCCCACTGGTTGAAGTTAATTCCTGTATGATGATAGATTTTATTTTTCTCAAATGCAGTTTTTAGTAATTTTAAATTGCAATAACATTAAAACTCATTTCAGAAAAATCAGAAATGCATACAAACAAAAGGAACGTAAAATGACCTACAACCCCTCCTATTTTAAGACACTAGGGCAGCTAGCTTGCTTAGGTGTCCAACTTTTATCTTAAAGGGTAGATCAATTTTCTGTTAAGTTGCTACCATAACAAATTACCACAAACTGGGTGCCTTAAAACGACAGAAATTTGTTTTCTGAGAGTTCTGAGGCCAGACATTCAAAATCAATACTCCTTTTGGAGATTCTAGGGGAAGAATCTGTTCTTTGCCTCCTTTAGTTTCTGCCGGCTGCCGGCATCCCTTCACTGTGGCCACACCACTCTGACCTCTGCATTCCTGGTCCCATTGCCTTCTCCTCTTCTGTGTGTTTTCTCTTTTGTGTGTCTGTATTTTATAAGGATACCCGTGTTTGCATTTAGAAGCCACCAGATAAGCTCCTCCTAAGTTCTTCAACTTAATCATACAATTTTGTCATATAAGGCAATATTTATAGGGTTTGGGGATTATGACATGCACATATCTTTTTGGGGGGCACCATTCAACCACTAGAGAGGGTTTCTTCAAATATCCTTTTGGTGATTGGGTTCTTGGCTGTTCATCTTTAAGATGGAAGCCTTAACACGCTGGTTTGAAGCTCAGTGCACATGAAGCAGGATGGGGTGCTAGAAGGCTAAAGAGTTTTACCAGGGTTATCAGGTGACCTGCCAGTCTTTTTTTTTTTTTTTTTTTTTTTTTTTTTAATTGGAGATCCCTAAATGTCACCATCTGTTGGACTGTCCTAGGATTGTTCATTTCCCCCCAGATTAGGATCTTCATTCTCCTGCCCAGGGGATATATGATAGCTACATGTGTTCTTGACTGGGTGTGTAAGTGTGGCTGTCTGTGCAAATCTTTACCTAACCTCCTTATGTTAAGTCATATTTCTGGTATTCCTGAGTCTGGAACCTCTTTGATGTGGTTTTTCCTGAGGATAAGTCGTTTGTCCAGGAGTGAGAGGAGGAGTGGTTAGGTGAGAAGGAAAACCAGGAGGCTTCACTTCTTAAACTGACACCATTTTGTCAGTCCTTCCTACCCTTTCTGGCTCCTTAGGACTTTATATTCCTGCCTTTATGGGTTCTGAGGGACAAATTGGTTCCTCTATCGGTCCTCTCAGCAAAGTCACTCACCAGTCTTCATAGTCTGTGGTTTGGGGTTACTGTGTCTCCTGCTTTCATTGGGGATGAAGTTTATTTATGCTTCTGTTTCTTGTTCTCCTTTCAGTTTTAGGTAGTTTTTCAAGAGGCCATGAGAAACTTTAGATAGTAAACACTGTAATCTTTCATAATAGCATTGCAAATATTTTCCATTGGTCATTTAACTCATCATTTTAGTTACAGCTAAATATGTAGAAAAGTTTAAAACTGGTATTGAGTTGATTCTATCCATCATTTGCTTGATGATTTGTGCCATTGGTGTGCATGTTTAAAAAGATCTTTCCCGTTGCATGATTATATACTTAATCACTTAAAATTTCATTTAGTTTTGTTTCATTTGCAGCTTTGATATTTAAATCTTTTAGATAGCTGGAAATTATTCTGATATAAAGTTGTTTTTTCTTCTTTGTCTTCTTCCTCTTCTTTTCATTTCCTCCCAATTGGTGAGCTTCAGCAGGGAGTTTAGATTTAATGAGCAAGGTGGGAGAGGAGGAAGAGACAAATGAGAGATAAAGCAAGCTCTGTTTAGTGTTGATTCCCATTTTCTGGTAATCCTTCACCTCAGATCTTTCCACATCTTGTTCACTTTTCAGGCAAAAAAATGACAAATTTCTCTCTGCGGCCATTTTATTCATTTTCCTATAAGTGTTAATTTTTATGAAAATACAAGAAGCATGCTGTGGGCTTCTGGATATCTAATTAACCCACTTTCTGATTTCTCTTGTTTCTAGACTTTTCTTTTGAAGTCTCAGCCATAGAAAACTGGGGATATTTTCATACTTGAGGGTACCATAAGGGATAGAAGTTCCTAGGTTGTTGAAATCACTTTGTGGTTTTAAAAATTTATTAATTTTTGAATGGATAAAACACATCTCTGTTCCAAATTCAGAAACACAAAAGGGGAGACAGTGAAACATTTCTTGGCTGTTTGCAGTTTCACTATCCTTTTTATTCCACACACATACCAGTATATATGTGAGGATCACTCTCACTCCTGGCCTCCATTTTTAAAAATATATTTTATTATTATTATTATTTTTTTTTTTTACAGAGAGAAAGGGAGAAGGATAGAGAGTTAGAAACATTGATGAGAGAGAAACAATGATCAACTGCCTCCTGCACACTCCTTACTGGGGATGTGCCCGTAAGCAAGGTACATGCCCTTGACCAGAATCGAACCTGAGACCCTTGAGTCCGCAGGC